GGGAAGGAATCCATCAAGGGAATCTCTCTGCATACATCAGTAATTACCACGACTGCACATGTATTCGATAAACAAGATAAAAAACTGTTTATCATTTTTTTGTTAGTTTCACCGAACAGTTAGCATTGATCCTGCACTTATGGAAATGACATCACAGCTTTGTAAATTTGTACTCAAGCAAACGCGTTAAAAGATGAGATTGCTTCGAAGAGCAACATTTACATAGAACATAAATCAAGGACAGGGTTGCTCAAACCACTATTAATCCAACAATGGCAATAGAATTTGTTGTTTTATGGCTTTGCAAAGACGCATACTATCAAATTTTGTTTACGTCAGGTTTATGGATTAGCCCGCTACCGTCTTCTAAACAATTTACTTAGTTATTGATATACTCATGCGCAGGTATTTGATTCACATAATCAATTTCGCTGTCTTCTTCTGTTGACTTCACAAGTGAATTGTACGTGCGGGAATCCTCCTCACCAGAAGTCTGCAAAATATTCAGTGGTATTTGTTAGAAAAATGATGGTATTATCGACTTGGTAGGCGTGCATGATTATTGAAACCTGTTTTCGATTCTTTTCAAAACTGTTTGATGCTTGGGAACACAACTGAAACAATGCAAATGAAAAAAAGTTGAAAGAAACCATAAGCATTGCCGAGTGAAAATTAGATATTCATTGATCATATTTATAGTGATGTTTTTTTTTTCTTTTTTGTGATGCTGTGCTTAAAACTTATCATGACTGTTACCAAATGAGACCACTTTACCCGGAAATTAAAAAAAAAAACAGATCTTAATCAAACAGGCAATTTTTGAAATAGATATAAAAGGAAAACAAGGAGACAAATTGATTACTAAAATTTAATGAATAATAACTTTTATAAGGTACGGGGTGGACTCTGGTCATAAATTGTTCACCGGTCGACTGTTGTTGCTCTTTTATTAATGCATTTTCCATATTGAAATTTTTTTGATGCCATGAGCTGTTGAGTTTCCTTAAAATGCGTTTCGTAAGCAGATAGAACGTTCTATTCATAGTATGGTGACTATAGGGGGCGACTATAGACAAATGATGATGGTAAATGGATAAAATTATCAAACTTTTAAATTATGAATCGTTGCAATGTAACATCAGGGTCAAGGTGCATCATGATATGATGAGTGTAGGAAAGGGTATATATGCAGAGACCATTTTTAATAACATTCATATTGGGTAATTCTCATCTCTTTGTTTGTGTAATTACCATCATTGTCTCTGAACACAGCGCGGTATATACACCCTCCTGTTGGACAGACGGCTCACTTTCGTTTTTCTTACTTCCCGCCGCTAAGCTAAGCTGGGCACCGACTTTCAAAGCATTCAACAGCAAGCTTTCTCCGTAGTCATGTTGATTCCTGTAAAGTGGTAGCAAACAAATAAACAATATAGTGGCCTCTCTGAAGTTTCTATAAAATGTTGTATTAGCTTTGTTGTCTTGTGAGAATTAATCTCTCTAATGACACATAGGGGAAAACAGGGCAAGGCTTTACCTCGGTATCATATGTAGCTACATCTTAACATTCCACCAACATGCAGAAGACGAGCCCAAGGGTCTCACCCCACTCTGGAGTTTCAAGAGGGGGTCAGTTTCATCTGGAATAGCGTACTGGAAAGTTTGTCTGTGCCGTTGGCTTTTTTTACTTTCAAAAGCCTTTGAAAGTTTTTTATCTTCCAGCACGATCTAAATGTCTCTTTTGCTCTCCTGAATCAAGCCAGGCGAATATCAAAAGTGGTTGCCACAGAGAAAACATATTACCGCTGAACAAGAGAATGAAAACAGTTTTTATACTCTTGAAACGTTTTAGAAATACAATCAGCCTTACTTGATTTGTATCAGATTGAATGAATATAGAATAAAAACAAGTGAAATAGGGGCCACTTACTGTATAACAGTTTCTTTTCTTGCATCTGCTGAACAAAATCAAATACCATCATACATCATAGTCCAAAATACAAAAAACAAACAAACAAACAAACAAACAAACTAAAAACAAACAATAAAAGCAAAAAAACAACAAATTACTTTTATTTTTTCCGCAGGATTAAAGCTTGGGGTGATAGGAAAGTTAAAGCCAGGCTGCTAACTTATTTAGAACCTACATAATCATACTGACCAGCCAAGAAGGAGTGGCAAGGCTCAGTGAAATGGCCTGAGACTTTAAAAGTTAGGTGTAGATATCGGCAATTTTAAACGATAGTCGTGAAAATAGTTAAAAAAAAAACTCTGGTGACGACGATGGAACGATTTTGACCGTAAGCCGTAAGAGCTATCACCTCATTAAGACTCTAAGCTTAGCTAGAATTGCTATACAGTGTTTTGTTTCGCACTTCTTCATTGGTAAGTTCTCTTCCGATTTGGCATAGCGTAATCAATAGTTCTTAAAAGGCAGCATAGCATTGAAATCCAGGGCACTTAGACAGAGAAGGTGACACTTTTATCATTCACTACGATTTGGGTTTTCCCTATCCTAAACTCACCACTTAAACTTTATATTTGGTTCTCTTGTCCGTGTGATTTTATGCATCTTTTTTTTTATATTTATGGATCAATTCTTCTCCTAGTTTGGCTCGGTAATAAAGGGGTTAAAATTAAAAGTTAAATTTTAAATGAAATGCTAATGATATCCAGATACCTTTTTTTTTTACCTTTTTTTTGTTTCTTCTGTTGTCTGAAAACTCCAAAAAGGATTACCAAGATTACAAACAAGAATCCTGCCAAAACAGCGATTGTCAGATAAAGGGTGAAGTAGTCGTTGTCATTCTTGCAATTGAGGTCACCGACCTTTGTAACAACTGGTAAGGTTTTGTAAAGGAAAAAAGATGGTAAGTTTTGAGCTCGGTAAAGAAATATAGAAATATGTTTTTAATATTGTCACAAACATGGAAGAAAGAGGAAAAGATGAGTCCCCGGGAGAAATCAATGTTTTTCAGTTCTATTAGTTATACTTTTTTTTTTTTTCATGTTAGTTACCAAGTAATGTTTTCTTTTCTTTCTTTCTTTCTTTTTTTTTTTTTTTTCTTCAATAAGTGATCAGGAACTAAATTAACGGTGGTCTTAAGCTGAAAAAAAAAACCATTGAATTTACATACAAATGTATATTGTCCTCCTGTGATTAAAATAAACCACTCATAGAGGAGATGAGGAGCCAAACGATTTCAGTAATTAAACCCGAAAACTAAATACGAAAAGAAGACGAGAGTTACTCGGAATGGCTCTGGTATTTCTCCTGGCTGAGAGAGAAAAATTGATATTTGAAACACGTTGATTTGGCCGTGTACCTGAGACGATTTCCTCAGTCGTGAGGAAAAAGTTGATAGCTGAGAATTTTTATGAACTGAAATTTACGCCTATTGTTTGTTTTTTGTGACGATTCCACGCATTTTTTCATCTGAAGCATTATCACCCCATCATATATTACAATTGTTCTTCGCGGATTGGATTCATGACTAAAGTCGACTTTTCTTGTCATGAAAGGCCCTTAAATAATAAACCAAGTAAGATATGGTTGCTTGTAGCCCTTGGAATTTCTCTTCTCGTGTTTAATTCGATATCACTCGTTCTAGGGTCATGCTGTTATCCAATACCTAAGTTGTTCGTTTGTTTGCTTTGTTTTGTTTATAATGCTTTTGTTTTTGTTCAGTTATACCATTGAATTTTTTTTTTTTTATCTTAGATCCATATTCTAAAGAGCTGTGCACATATCGTTGACCTTAGTGCGGCAAACTCTTAGATTCTGCAAATTATTCCTTCGTCTCCATACAAGGAAAGGAACTTGATGACGTCTCAAGTGTCCAAGTACTTTCAAGGGCTTTATATAAAATATTTGCTTCCCTAATACTTTACTTTGAGAGTGAAGACGTACTTTTACCTCTTTCAAAGTAACATCCATTTGACCCTTCGCATATGTATCCTGCTATTCCCGTTTTTGCCTTACAGCCTATATTATTGCAGAGCCCATAATGTTTATTATAATCTTTGTACATTTGTGCGTAGTTCTCGGGTTCCGAGTCATTGCTGGGTTCGCCCCCTGCCCATGGCCAATTTCCACGAGACGTGCTCACGGCGCTGTTATCACTGACCCATAGCTACTTTCTAGATGATTCATCTTTCCTCAAACCGATAAAGTACTAAGTGGTTTGCAGCTTTTGAATAGCTTGTTTTAAAAATTCCCATTCATCGCGAGTCTCAATAGAAACAAGATCACATCCGGCCACTCTGCACATTTGTCTACTTTGAATCCAAGAGTAACGTGCTGTTGTATTGCTCCGATAAAAATCATAATTGGTGCCATTCCTATTCAGGTGATCTAAGTGTCAAATTCAACATAATCATACATTTAACACAAAGGAGAGTAATTTTCAATTACCGAAAATGCTCGAATTAGCGCCCGAGGCTCTTATTTAATTCTCTGAGGCGAGCGGGGGGCGCTAACTCTAAAGGGAAGGGGCGTGCTTATTTAAAAGGGGGCACTTCTTTCGTTTATCAATTTTTATCCTCAATATGACACCATTTTTATGGCTATTTACAACCAAACTGCCACATAAAAATTCAAAACCCTTATAGAAAAGTACTTTTTGCGAACTCGAAACATTCTCAAGACTTTTTCATCAAAAAATGTATTTTATTTCTGCAATAGAACAACTCTAACAAAATTATGCGTTTGCTATTGTGAAATGTTTTCTCGTAAAAGAAAAGCCTGCGGTTAATATCAAGTTGTCTTCAATAAAACACACAATAAAAACACACTGTTAGTGTTAAAATATCGTGTCTCTCCTAAGCATTTAGATCCTTAATCAACTTCAATATCTGTATCGCTGTCCTCAAGCAATGTTGTCATAGGAGCTGCATCTTCGACATCCGATAGCGTCATGTCCTGAAATGGGTCATTCTCCATTGTTTGCTGAAGTTGTTGTTGAACTGCCTTCAGTTGTGCCAGGCTAGAATGGAAATGTTGACTTGGCTTTAAGCAGTGTACCAGCTCATCTTCAGAACCGTCGACAACAAGTGACAATGCACAGCTCTTAAAATCATTTACAATAATTTCCTTATCCACATCATTCCATGCCTCAAGGATCCAATGAACAATCTCTCGCCGAGGAGGAGCGCGCGTGTTCCCTGCTGCAGTAAACGCGTGCTGACCATTTGCCATCCACTCGTCATATTTTTCAGTCACTTTGGCTTTGAATGGTTTGTTCCATGAGACATCGGGTGCTTGAACATATTCAGTACATCCCCCGGGTACAATTACAGGATCTCTCTTGGTGCGATTGAGCTCTTGTTTAACGCTCTCTAAAATGTGGCATCTAGACGAATTCCAAACCAGCATCTGTCTCGTAAACGAAAACTGGCCTAAGACACTTTTAACCCAAGAAAATGTCAGTTCTTCGTTCATCCGTCCATTAATCGAAGACGCTACGACGCACTTTGTTTTAAATTCCTCATCAGTGCTTTTGACTCTCTCTTGGCACCGGGAAAACGATGAACGGCTTCAGTTTGGTACCGTCTCCTTTTGCAGCCAAACACACTGAAACGCTTGTTTTTCGTGGCCAGTTGTTTTCAATCGAATCGTGCTTTCGCCAATGTTGTCGACCGTGGTATTAGATACCATATCCTGCCATACTGCTGTATCGTCCATCGCAATGATATATTTGTCGTGGTGAGCAATTTTCCCCCGTTTCCGGCGAGTCTGCAAAATGTAGTGTATTAGTTTGTCTATCAGTTTATCCGGGTCCTTCTGTGATTCAGTGATTTTGCGCCTAATTGCCTAGTCATGTCTTGACATGAACCGCTGTAACCAACCAGAACTGACAACAAACGAAGGTAGCATTACTTTCTCCTTGCATTTCTCTTTATAGAGAGATTCTGCTTTGTTTGCGATCATTTTTCTTGAAACACGAGGGCCATTGGAACGGCGCTCATGCACCCACTGCAATAATGATTCCTCTATGTCTTCATCGAATGACTTTCGTCCTGCTCCTTCAAGCCACTTTCTCGTGCTGCTAGCAGCTTCCAGTTTGCTTTTATTTTGTCGCCACGCTCTTGTTCTATTGCGGTCGACATCAAACTTTGCTGCAGCTTTTCGGCTACTGTTACAATCTTCTGCAAATCGAAAAGCCTTGAACTTAAAATCGCGAGAATAACAAGAGTTCTTCAGTCAACCCTGCATGAGAAGTAGATGCGAGATTTATACTTGTTTCCTTTATGTCAATTTTGGAACTGCTGGAAATGGTCACGACACAAGACTACGCATGCGGTATTTCGAGAAGACCAGAAAAGACCACATTCTCTCACGTACCAAACACCTGCGCGACTTTCGTCCGCTGTTTGAAACATGGCGCACGCAAGCTATACCTTCACTTGGCAGATGGTTTACGAAATAGAATTTGCGTCTGTGATAAGGAGACATCATGTTTATAAAACAGAGTGGTCACCAAAGCTTGGAGAAGGGCGTGTCGGAAAGACAAATGATAGGAGGCTAAAGAGCATGATTAATATGCTGTTGGAAAATTCATTCAAAAGAGTAGCAAGCTGGTTGGACATGTACCCATTGAACTTTCCTTCCTCGTGTTTACATTTTTACGAGCTTATGAGGATAATTACCTGGTAGTTTAAGTCACTGGAAGCAGGAAACTTGAAAATGGCCTCGTACTCCCAAGAACTTTTGAGGTAGTAACAAGAAGCCGGCGATTGGGAGCAAAGTTTTACGAGGAATTTAATAAAGTGAAGCAGCTCTCTGCTCACATTGGATATTTCTATCAGGTAAAAGAGAGGCAAATCCGAACGACTTTGAAAGGAAATTACTGTTTATACTATTTAACAATGTCACATTTCATTAAAAGAACCGTATAGACCGCGTGCGTCTCGTATCTCGTACCGAGTACCGAAGCTCACTTTTTCTCGGGGAATGTGAGGGGGGCGCTTATTTGAAGGGGGGCGCTTATTACAAATTTTGAACCTTAGGAGGGGCNGGTTTAACCCAATGCTTTTAGACAATGATTTCAAATCGAAATAATCAACAAAATGAAGCAGAAGGTTGAATATGACATGTCACTTGAAGTTTATCTTGAAGATTGATTGGATAGTGGTTTTTCTGGTTTCGATCATCAAGTCTAATAGGTGAATAGTGACTAACGTCACACATTTTTTCTTCGTCGTCCTTGACCACATCCTTTTTTTTTCCTGAGTCGAGAGACAACTTAATTACTTTTACAGGAATACCCAAACAGGCCTCAGAATATAATCAAAGGAACGAAAAACAATGCCGAGTTACAATCGATATAGCTTTTCCTGCAGGGGCCCAATGAGACAATAATTAGCCCGAAATGAGGTCCATGGCTTTATAAAAGGATTCTGCAAATGTGTTCATGAAGGCTTTGCCTCGAGATTTAAGTGGTGAGATTATGCATTTATGTGTTTCACTTGTTTTTTTTTTTTTTTCCCTACTGCCATACATTAAACTACGATGACGCATTGCGATGTAACATACCAAAGGAGTCATCCAATGATTCTGCTTAGTTACAATAATGATGCAATTAGGCAGCCGAATCCGCCTATCTAGAATAAGGTACAGCATGTTCAAATTATAATAGAGCTCTTTTGAATTTAGAAAAAGTCAGAATAGCTTAGCTGGTAAACAACCTTACTAAATAACCATTGGCGTATCATATACTCTGCGTCATTACAATCGACCGAATGTAAGGTTTATGGATTTTTCAACCAACCTTTTTCAACGACACATTTAGTAGACCCCTCACATATATATCCTACTCTTTTCGATCCTATGTCACATCCTATATTATTATACCGACCAAAGCCTCCGTCTGTCTTGTTCATTTGTACACAATTACTGCGCTGCTATCACTTATCCATCTCCAATCTCCGGACGAGATATCCTTCTTCAGCCCTGAGAAGTATTCCCCTGTTTCAAAAGCCTGGATAGTTTGGTTTAAAAAGCTCCATTCTCCATAACTCTCAACAGAGACAAGGTCATATTCACCCTGCTTGCACCGTCTTCTGCTTTCGGAGCAGGAGTAAAAAGGTGTCACATTGTTGTGCTGGTGGAATATGTAACTGGAACCATTGTATACATTTGTATAATTACCTCTGTGGTCTATATGAAGATAGAAATGCATCATATATCAATTTTATTAGTTACAGGAGATGGCAATTTCTAACCAGAGGGAACATATACTTTACTAATTCCATCAGATCTGTAATAATTTGACCGTACGTATTAGCATTAGGCTTAATAAAATATCTCAGAACGCCATTTTTCCATTTCAGCAAACAAATATTTCTCTTGAAATATGCTCAGATATTCCTTCCAAAGTCCAAGCGGCTCGTGTTAGAATAATATGGACAGCTAGTGTGGCACAAGTTGCGCTTTGATTTGGTTCCCATCCCACAAAAATACATAGATTAATAACTAAATGGTACGCAAATGTACTCGATACAAAGATATAAAGTCATCAAACTTAACGAAACGCAGAGTTTCTTTAAAAAAGTAAACATATCGCGGTTCACTTTAGTAACCGCTGAAATCATACTTGCCTGTCGTAAATCTCTCAGCTTCGCTCGATTGAGTTCCAAACTGGAATGGTATTGTGTCAAAATACTTCGATTCCATCAGAATTGACACTTACGGTATCACTCTTTCATAAATATATTATCAGTTAATTTTTTTTTATTTTTATTTTTGGTTACAAGACTTCCTAGAATTATTTTTGTGAACCACGTGCTTCAGTTTGCTAAAACAGAAGCTGCAACACACNTAGAGCTCTGATGTGGTGAAGGGTGGTGGGTCATCCTCCAGCAGAACTGCATCGATTTCATCGTGCTGGAATAAGCTGTTTATTGCGTGGGCCGCTGCCTTGCTCTCGGACTTGTGTCCAGTGTAGGCCTGAAGCGAGGCACACGATTCTAGTATATGTTGTCTCGTCAACTTTATCACCTCTCCCAGCCATATTGGTCAAGTTTCACCGTG